AGCCCTGTCAATGCATTAGTTCAGTGTGAACACAAAACTGCAGCCACAAACTACCCTAATCTTCTATAATTCTAACCCTTTATTGCTTTTGCCCCAGTAACGAGACTGAGGATCCAATACCAGCCAAAAGTGATCATTTGGGCACAATCCCATTATGCTGAGCACATAGGCAGGGTGGGTGGGCTAATGCAAATGAGATAAAGAGCCTGAAGTCCTCTTCCGCCTCTCACCACTAGGTGTCAGGGAAAGCTCATTTGGACTCTGCTTACAATTAGTAAATACCAAAGAAATTAGTCTCACATCAAATTTCATAGATATTTATTACATCTCAATGAACAAAAAAGTACCTGCTGCTCCTTCACAGCGATGACCTATTGCACTTAAAACAGCTTTAGTTATTAGAGTAATGATTCCCTTTCTTTACAGGCTACATTCAAAACACAGTACATATACATTACTAGGGATTAAAAACAGTGGCAATACAATAAATTTTAAGACACTTGGTGGTAGTTAATTTTTAGATCACAAAGGTTCAGCAACAGTCTGACAGTACATAATCATTGAGGTACATAACCCACTGTGAACATTCAAGCACTTCAATAAAACAAATTCAGGATTGACACAAAGTGCTTTGTACAAACCTTATAATCCTAAGATCTTCATTCAACTAGATAAATACTTAAAACAAGAGAAGTAAATAAATATGCAATAATATTCCTGATTTCTTTTATAGCCTTTTCCTCAAGGCTTGTGGTGTTGGCATGAATACACATTTACACAAGGAATCAAAGGTGCTTGTTGGTCATTTGAAGTTCACTAGTAGGATTAGGGCAAAGCAGACATGCATTATTTAGGCCAGTAAGGTGCAACGCTGTACTATCACACTACTAAAAATACATTTAGTGACCTGACAGCTAGTAAAGACATTTGTGGCAGACTCAAACACCAAACTCCCTGTATCTTAGAAATGAAATCCAAATTTCTCAAGGTCAAATTTATTCCATCATGAAACAAAATCCCTAAGAGCTCATTCAACACCAGAAGGGCAGTGAGAAAAGGTTTCTTTAGCTAAAATGGCAAACAAACACAGAGTGTATTAACTACCACACAAAAATCACAGCAACATTAATTTTCAATTTTTTTGGTCATTCTTACAGACAGAAAGCAACAAACATGATGCAAGACCACAAAGAAAAGGGAGAGGAATTACTCCTTTAAATATAATTACAAATGGCTGTGTGAACACATGGTTTTTAATTTAGTATCTCTATAAGGAGGAGTGTAAACCTAGCTGCTGATGGACAATAGTGATAAATATGAGCGTGTTTTCCAAAATGTATTCCAGCCAAATGCTTAGGCACGTCACCATGCCCCATATGGCATGAGGCAAACTAGTAAGCTACAAGCTATCAAAAGATCTGTTGCTCTTTAGAAACATTTTGATTTGTGCCACTGAAAGAGAATAATTTGCAAGGCAGATCAAGGCTTTAGAATGGCCAAGCATACCTGACCTCAGCGATAGACTTTGAGAGGACATTAGAGCGCCAAGGTCAGTGAGGTTGGTCCAATAAAATATATGACCTCATCCACATTGTGTGTCTAATATTCTGGGACCAACAGGGATTCAACACTAGAGATATCAATTTAAAAGGACATTACAGTTAACTTGAAGGTAGACACAGGCTGACAAATCCAGGGAACATATATTCGGAACAGCAACATGGGCAAATCAGGCACTGGAGGATTCTTAACTCCATGGCTGTGTCTACACTGGGCCACTTATTCCGGAAAATCAGCCGCTTTTCCGGAATAAGCTGCGAGCTGTCTACACTGGCCCTTGAATTTCTGGAAAAGCAACGATGCTCTACTGTACAAAATCAGCCGCTATTCCGGAAAGACTATTCTGCTCCCACTCGGGCATAAGTCCTTATTCCGGAACACTGTTCCGGAAAAGGGCCAGTGTAGACAGCCCAGTAGTCTTTTCCGGAAAAAAGCCCTGATCGCAAAAATGGCGATCGGGGCTCTTTTCCGGAAAAGCGCGTCTACATTGGCCACAGACGCTTTTCCAGAAAAAGGGCTTTTCTGGAAAAGCAGCCTGCCAATGTAGACACTCCTTTTCTGGAAAAACTGAAAACGGAATAGTATTCCGTTTTAAGCATTTCCGGAAATTCATGCCAGTGTAGACACAGCCCATGTATACCACATCCTCCACTATGGCAGAGCTCTATAAAAACAGCTGACAGACTGTCAGCCTGAAGTGATGAACATAGCTAAAATGTGGTTGAGGACTCTCTATGTTCAGACTATCACCAGGGTCAGTCCTCACTGGGATTAGCATTTTGTTGCCATCCACTTTTCAAGTTCTTATTCATTTTGACTTTACAAATTAAATCCATGCTGGGTACAACGGTAGTAAAACATGTATCTGCTGTGCCAGGAGTCCTAGATCAGTGTGATATCAGAGGTAACTCAACCCATCACTCCGTTTACAGCTAATTTTGCATGGAACAATTTCACTATTTTCATGAGGGAAACTGCATAGATGTGGGATTACATGGCCCAACTGCCACGAGCATGACAGCTGTTATATATTCATGCATGCAGCCATATAAAGATTTCTCTCCCACCACACACACCATACCTCTAACAACAAAGTTTATTCCTCGGGCCCTGCCCCCTCCCCTTCTCTCTCTCTCTCTCACACACACGCCACACACATAGTTATAGTCCCTGCAAAACATCACGTCCCTCACCACACATGGAGCAACAAAGATTGGCTATAAACATACTGCACTCTACTTAGGTTCTTACACTGCAGCGATCACTTGTCCCCCAGCTTCCAAAGTTTGAAAATGAATTTGGGCCTTCATTCCTCCCCACAGATTTGTGGGTTTTTATTTTTTTGTTTTGTTTTATATTTATTTAAAACCAATGTGACCAAGTTGCTGTGAAGGAAAGCTACTGGAAAAAGTGAGTTTTCATTTGTCTTCAAGAGTGGTAAAAATGTCAGCATTCTAATGTGCTTGCAGGCACAAATTCTTCAACCAGTCTTGAGAAAGGCCTGTCTCCTGCACACAGGCCCTTTCTCCATTAGGTGGGCACAATTCCATTGCTCTTAAGGAGCAGAACTGATGAGGGTAGTGAAAATTCCTTCAGTAGCTGGCCTTAAATATGATTCGGCATTCTATGGGGAGCCTGTGGAGCAAGGAATACTGTCATGATGTGCACCCAGTAGCCTGAGGGCAAACATGGCTGTATACTGACTAACTACATTTTTTTCAGGCTTGATGCTTTCCACTCACAAGTTATTTTCCTATAAATCAAGTGAATTAATAAAGACACTGTGTATGAGGATGGCCAGTTTCTTGCAGACCGTTGTCTTGGTCACGTACTGGGACAGCAGGGTATCAGCAATGCTCACATAGGTTTTGAAAGGCAGGAAGAGTTGTTTTAGTTGCATAGTGCTAGAATTTGCACTCAAGATATCTTGTCAATTCTCAGCAGTTGCATGAAAATACAAAAAAGGCCAAGGGAGAGAATGTCATAGGTGAGACTCCAGGTGGCACAAGTGCAAATGCCTATCACTATAATCCTCAAATAAGCCATTTTAGTTTCCCTGGACTCCTCACAACTCTCAGGCAGCAGAGTATGCTACATGTATGGACATGTGCCCTTTATGCATGAGATCAGTATCACCATTGCTATTTCCTTTTCAAATTCTGGTCTGTTACCTGACTGGGAAAGTTCTAGTATACTGACTACAGTTGGATATGGAGAGACAGCCAACTATTTGACCTTATAATTACTCTATTTTCCACTCTGACTCTTTTTTCCTCCCATCTTTCTTTCTTTCTTTCTTTCTTTCTTTCTTTCTTTCTTTCTTTCTTTCTTTCTTTCTTTCTTTCTTTCTTTCTTTCTTTCTTTCTCCCGACCTCCTGCTGGATAAGTGGATACACTCTCTGATCCCACCTGTTCTCTTTCAGCTCCCTGTTGATGTTCTCCCTCCATTTGCTACGAGACACTGATTAATCACCGAATCAGAGAAATTAAAAGACAAGAGATGCTTGTTAGCACGCTCAGTACACAATTTCTGAGCAAATGCAGGTCATTTTTCTGTGATCTGGTGCTATTTGATTTATATAAATCATACATTTCTAAGGGCAGAAAATACTAATAATGCCCTGCTGCATACCACAAGCCATAGCATTTCACACAGTGATTCCTGCATCAAACTCAATACATTCCTGGTTTTGATCTTTTAGAAACACGTCCCTTCTTGATTTAAAAACCCCAAGTAGAGAAGCCACCACAGCTCTGAGTAGGTTGCTTGATTGGTTAATTACCATCACTATTAAAAATCTGTACCTTATTGTCAGTACAAATTTAACTAGCTTCAATACCCAACTTCTGTCTGTGCTCCTCTCAGCCCTTCTTATCTTGCCTGAGGACATTATCTGGGAGCCACCTAATGCTGCAATTACAAATCGACTTCAGAGTTCTATGAATAGCTTAGGAAATGTGTTGTGCAACTGTGGTGCAACTCACAAAAAAGGGCTCTTTTCCTGAGCATCTTAGTTACAGAACCACTGCTACAGAGAACCATAAACATGTGCCACTGAGCTGTCCTGCAGATCAGATACTCAGCTGCTGCCAAATTCTCTCATTTCTCTATTCTTGAGACTTTTCCTGCACTGATTATGGTAAGTCCCTTTAGAATGCCCCCTTAACTTCCTCAGCAGCTTCAGGCTCTAACCCAGGACTACTCAACTTTGGAAACCCCGGGGGCCACAACAATATTCACAGCACCACGTGCCGAGGGCTGCAACTTAAGTGTGGTTGCATATATATGCAAATATACACGCAAATATATGCAAATGGAATCTTTCACACGGATGGGTATGAATACAAAGACTAAGGCAAAACACAACACAACACACAGGCCCCATTTAAGACAGTTCTACTGATGTTAATAAAATGCAGTATTTACCCGATTTCCACCCACTTTTAATGAGCAATGACAGTCCAGGAATTTAACTACTAAAATGCATATCAACAGAAGACCATTATATTGATGACTTTTTTGTTTTGGCTCCCACCTGCCGGCTGTGATGAGCCCGGGAAATCCAAACCGCACCATGGGCCGCATGCGACTCATAGGCTGTGTGTTGAGTAGCCCTACTCTAACCAATACTATTTTTTACTCAGATGTCGAGTTGTGTGGACTGCACTAAAATATCAGAAGAGGAGAACCGAGCCATAAACTATTTCAATTTACTATTTGATATTTTGACAAATCGAAACAAAATTTCCAGTTAAAACTATTTTAACTAAAGTCTGAATTTGCAACACACGGGTATAGGTTCTAAAGTAACCCACGAACACATGTACATACAACTCACACAAGAATATGTAATGTATGGGAAACAAGGCTGAGGATAGAGAAAGGGAAAGAAAAGACTACTCCGTGCTTCAGGATGAGATGCAATCTTACGGTGAATTAAAATGAGCTCCCCATGGTTGTTCACTTGCATGCTGGCATGATCTGCCCTGGATACAGGTGTATAAAGAAATACTGTCTCTCACACACAGGACAGACCCTAGACTCCATCAAAATTGTGCCAAATCTGGCATCTTTCAGCTTCATTTTTCAACCTGCACTAAACTGACAAACAGTATAGCGTATGTAAGTGTTTTCCAGTGACTGTGGAGTGCTTTTTCACAAGAGTTGAAAGCTCTGGCAAACAATTTCAGCTCACTTTTCTTTTAGATGTTTTTCTTAGACTTACAACCCAGAGTTATTGGTTTAAAAATACTATAATACTAATCACTAGCTAACACACTTTCTTCTAATAAAAGAATGATTACAGCTGAAAATATTGCTTCTTTCCTTGATTAGCTACTATAGCTGAGAATAAAAAAAAACAAAACTTTACATGCAATTAATTACTATTTTCTTGGCAAAGCAATTAGCAGCTACCTACACAAAAACTAAGTAACTGGATGCAGGGCAGTAGGCAGGAAACTGGATCATATTCAGAGACACTCAGGGCACAAGTTGTCAGCTATTCATGCTAAGAAGGAAACAAAATTACGACGCCAGCAAGGCATGCCTAAAATAATGAAAATATTGAACTATTTCTAATTATGAAACAAGACAGAGCTAACATCTTACAATAAAAAAAGGAGGAAAACATATTTTCACGAAAAACCAAAATATTTTGTTTTTTGTTTCAAATTCATTGTTTTGGCATACAGAAAATGCAGGAAAGGCCTCAAGAATCATATTTTATAGGTGAAATTTGTCCTTCATGCTTCAAAAGGTTTATAGTTACTATTTAACCATGTAAACCTAGCTGTTCAGTGAAATTTCAGCCTGGATCCACTCAGGCTATTTGGAGCAGTCTAAAGGTATATCATTTACAGAATTAATGCACAAGCAAGTGTCTGCATATTAACAGGAGGTTCATTGGCAAGTCCAAATATCTATAGAAAATGGAACGTAAAATCAGATGCTGGCTCCTATATACTGGGTTTTTGATAAGTCTACAGGTACATAAAAGGGATAATAATCCAGTTGCTTTGTTAGCCTGATACATCTCTTTCTTCCTTTATCTTTGATTTTCAATTTTTAGGGGATTTTTTTCTATAAAATTCTCTATATTCCAGAATTTTTACTTCATGTCTTGTTTTCAGATCCCTCTCAGAAAAAAAATACATGAAAAGATGAGAGAAGAAAGCATGTTCCTATGTTATTCCTAGATTCCAAGGCCTGAAGGGACAAACACATTCATCTAGTCTGACCTCCTGTAGATACACAGGCCATTTAACTTACACAAAATAATTCCTAAAGCTGAACTTTTAGAAAAACATTCACTTGATTTAAAAATGATCAGTGATAGAGACTCCACCATGACCCTTGGTAAATTGTTCTAGCAGTTAATTACTCTTAATTACCCATAGAAATTTATGGTTTAGCTTACCTGATCTTCATAGACTATCTTTTGTTCTTCTGCAAGTGTGATAACAGAACTGTATCATTTCAGGGACAAATGATCCTGGCTGAAAAGAACCTTGTTACAGATTTGTTTTTATCTTTATAAAGATCATATTTTCACACGACACACTGTGCTGTGGAGCAATTTGTAATAGCGGCAGCTACAAATAACCTAGCTAAGTGTTACTGTCATTGAGGCCCTACAAATATAAGTTCAGAGTGAATACAAATAAATCGTTTATTTACTAAAATTTTCATCCTAAAGCTATCATTGATACCTACCCATCCTGTTACAATAGGAACCGATGGTTGTCTAACCAAGAAAGGGAAACGTAAAGATGGCAACAAAGCTTCAACTAATTGGACTCTGCACAAATAAAGCCTCAATATACTCCATTTCTTGCCATATGTTATCACTAAAAGAAATGTTGTGACATTCCTCTAAGGCCTTCAGAGTCATAAGAAAAGGAAAAGAAGAAAACAAGAGACTGTCTTCACTTCAAGTCAATGATGTCTTCATCAAATGAAATAGCGAGATGAAATGCACTGCTAGATGGTGGGCTCTCCTCCCGATTTGCTGCAGTATCAGGATCTGAACTAGTGGAAAGGTGACGCCCTTCAGAATTGCTTTCAAAAGAGCTTGAAATTATCCTGCAGGAAGGAAGGCAAAATCTATGTGAAAATACTCGATCAAAGCAAGAAGCAAAGATGATCTATCCATGGGTGCAACCAGGTGAGTTTGAAGATAGATCTATGACTTCAGGATAGTTTGATCCCTCTCTTTTTAACTCTGATTTTTCATAGTATTCACTCATATTCACACCAAGCTAGTCAATAGAAAACATGCACAAATATCAAGTTTACAATCACATATCCACAGCAGTTCATGGATGACTTCTCAAACAAATATTCTATATTGTCCTTACTAGACAAAATACTGAAATCAATTTACTTTTATTCCCTGTAATTTAAAATTCTATTAATGAAAAAATCGCCAGTCAGTCATGTCTGAGGCAAATCCTACCTTTGCTCTGGCTCAAAGGTAGATTCCCTAGTGCACTGAGTATTGCAGGGAGCAGCAGGGTAAAGGGAAAGAAAGTTTTGAGAAATTCTATATAGGCAGCAAGGACTGTGAAAAAGAGGGAAATGGCCAGTGAATCCATAATCTGCAAAACTGTTTGCCCAAATCTTCTGAGGGGGACCCCAACATGGAAGGTACTCTATCAAGGCCCATTTAGTTAGATTTTATTCAGAGGTCCATGACTTGGTACCTAGGTGCAGCCAGACACAATTCAAAAAGGCTATAAACACCTAGAAACTAGGGATGATATGAAAACATTGACAGTCTTTAGCCAAAATTATTACTGGGCCCAGTTCTGCCACTTCCAAGGCAGTGTTATAAACAATTTTTAAAACTGGTTTCTCTCTCTTTATATACAAAAGTTTTTCCTGCCGTATGACAGAATGACTTAATCAGGTTCTCTGGCTGCAAAAGTGGCTGAGGGTGGGAGAGGAGGGATTTGGTGAGTGTAGTGAGCATGAGCCCCTTAGTAGTTTAAAATTATCATTAGTATTACAGAATAACCAAGTACCCCACTCAGGGCAGGGCTCATTGTACTACAGTTAAGAAAACAGTTCATGCCACATGGATTTTACTTTCAAATTTAGTGTGATTCTTTTTAAAATCTTCCTCTTTACCTGTCACTGCTTGTTGACCTTATTGCTCCCTGCTTGAGGTCTGATCGTTTTCGAGGAACCTTCTTTTGCTTCTGTGCTACTTCTGATTTGGTATCTCTCTCATCCAAGAGGCCTCAATAAAGGAATAAAAGACTTAGAGTGCAGAAAAGTGATTAAACATTTGTGGGTCTTTTATAGCTACAATATTCTTTATTGGCTTCAGAGACTGGCTACATTATAATTGGGTTAGAGAACAGACCTACTATGTGTATTAGCTAATCAAAGATCGGATTACCAAGCAGCATATTTGTTTTCTTTAAAGTGAGGATGGGGAACCTAAGGCCCGGGGGTCAGATGAAGACCCGGGTTGCCTGGATCTGACTGCCGAGGTTCAGGCTCCTCCCCAGCAGTGGGGAGCCTGCTCTGGTGTTCCACCACCCTGTCCCCGCTGCTGCCACACCACAGGGCTGGAGCACACAATCTACTAAGCTAGGCCCTTCTAGGCTCTAGTGTGTGAGGGGACAGGGTGGAGTGTCTTTCTCCTCCTCAGTTGGGGGCCATATCAGGTTTTTTTTGTTTTGGGGGAGGGTTTTTTTTGCTTCTCATTTGTGTGAGGGCCCCAACCCAATAGAGGTTCCCCATGCCTGCTTTAAAGTACGTAGCCCTTTCACAAAGAAGCTGTTTTTCTACCCGCTGACATTTTATTTTTGTTGTATTTTCTGCTCTGTGTCACTCCAGAAATCTAAATGAGCAACACAGATGCCAGATGGTAGAATTGGGAATTGACTGTATCAATCAAAAGGCTTTACCCAGTAGTTCTTTGCGTGTCCTGCTTGCAATTTCTTTAATTTCCACACGAGACAATGATAATGAATGAGTGACAGGAGCCGAAGCAATAGCACTGAATGTCGGGGTGATGACAGCTTTGGGAGCTAATGGTGACTTCAGAGGTCGTTCAATGCTCCTCCCCACCAGGTTACTGAGAGGAATTCTGAATAAGTTTTTATGCTGAATTTCACCTGAAACACAGAGACAACAACCAGAGAGATTTGCAGATTTTCACAGTAATAATAATTTGACACATTCTTTATCACACGAGTAGTGACATATTCAGCTGGCCATTACAAAGATGTGGCCATTTACCTCCAGTGTTTACTATCTAAATAGACAACAATTGGACATAAAAACACTAAAACTAGACAGCAGATGCTGTTAACAGAGCATGATTTTATAGTGGAGTGATGACAGCCTTTTACTGACAGAGCAAACGATGAGGGGAAAACTGAGATTGCTGTTCCCTTCATTAAAATAGTTTATATGCACATTAAAGACAATGGGGCTGTAAGCTCCCCTTTTTAATGTTACTATCAGAGATCCACCATGAGCAGCTTGGTTGGAACTTCACACAGTCATATGTACTCCTTAGCCCTACTTTTTTTGGTAGCATTGTTTAATACCTTTGAACTCTGAAACTGTGCTATACATTCCTGAGTGATGGTCCCGATGTGGATTCCAGTCATAGGTGTGCATGCGTGCCATGTGCCAGAACTGTTCATATTAGCATCTGTTGACCAGCATGTGTCAACTGCATGATGTGTCTGAGACTTTAAGAAGCTGTGCAGGATGATGCCACTCTAGATCCCTCTTATTGCCACACAACCGTAGTCAGTACCCCCATTTCTCTACTTTTATTGCTATTTCAAAAATTATGTTCCCTGGATCACATATTATATATCAGTGGGGGGCAACGTACGGCCCAATGGCCACATGTGGCCATTGAGGGTTCTATGTGGTGCCTGTGAGACATTTTGCTTACTGTTGCCCATGTGCAGAGCTGCCAGAATCGGCTGCTTTTCATCTGGGTAGGTTTTCTTCCAGGTATTACTAAAGTGACACACAAGTAAAGTAAGGGCACATGAAGTGAGGTGCATGCTGATTGCACACAATATTGACCTTGAGAGCGTGTGCTCCTTCTGCAGCCAATCCAAGTGCTGCTAAGGTTCTGTTGGCACACCCCGCAAATTCTAGGTATGTAAGTGCAGTTAGCAAAACTACCCTATCCTGTAAGACCATCTTAGTTACAAGTCTTACAGACCACTGAAAGGGAGGGCCACTCACTAGCACAGGTTGTCCACCACTGTTGTATATAGTTAGTTACAGAGTAGTGGTCCAGCCTCATTTTTCCTTAGTTCATACTTATTAGTTAAGTTAGCAATTAGCTGTACAAATAAATTCCCAACATCTCCCATGGTGGGACCCTCTCCCCGCTTGGAGGACTAGGCCCAGGCAGACAGGCTTCAAGTACTGTGCTTCCTGCTCCCGTTTGGTCTCTGTAAGTGGACAACACCAAAGGTGCCGATACTACTGGGACGATGCTCGTTAGCTACGTTCTGTTCCCACTGCTGAAACTTCCCACTTAGAACTCAGGAAGCACTTGAGCTTCATCATCGCAAATCCCTAACAGAGGGAGCTATGTGCCTACACCCTCCATAGCCACTGGCACAGATGGACTACTGCTGTGCACTAAAAGTCAGCTCTGCTTCCTGCACATCCCACCAGGCATCATTGGCACTGTTACATCCAGCCAACCACTATGTTAATAAGCATCATTTGCATGGGCACAAAACCAGATCCCTGATGGGGATGGCTCCAAAACTCAGTCTTTCCTCCCTGAGCCGTGCCAGGTCTGATGAAACGTCAAACGCAGAAGAGGAGACTTTGGCACCATGTTCCAGTGATAGCTTCAACCGATGCAGCCTTCATTGATGTCACCGTCCACTCTGCCAAGGACCATTACGGGTCTCCTAGTCAGCCTGTGCACATCAGGTTGCCTGTCCCATTAACACCCTCAGGTGAGCTGATGTTGCTGTTTGGAGTCTCTCCACCATGTAGTCATTCAGTACAGCAATACAGTGATTCACTGGCGTGGCATCCTGACAAGTCTCCTGCTCTGTCAGAGATGATAAACGTTCAGCTGTGTGTGTTTTCATATGCTCCCTCGGTATATCATGCCAGCTCTGTGCAGGTAGCTAGCATAATTGACTTCATGACAGCCCCCAAAGACCACACACACAGAAGATATAAAGGCACCCAAGTCAGATTTATTGACAAACGAAGTACATTAATAGTTGTCGGTAGCCAGATGGTCTCCGAGCCCCAACGTATTTGTACCTTGGACAATGGACACAGCTCAGTCGATAGCATGGTTTTCATGGTCACCCCTTAGGCCGGCCAAAGAGTTAAGTTTGAGGTACTCCCACATTTATAGACAGAAATGAACAATCTATGATACACACTGTACATATCAACTTACGCATTAAGGGCACATTTGGTACCTCTCCTTGTACTTTCCTCCAAAGCATTCCTATTCACTGCTCATTGTTCTGCTTTCACTCTTGTTGTTTCAAACATATTTCATGTGCTTTTAGCAGTGCTAGCATTCTAGTGCCGAGACACACTGACTTGCAGGCAAACATTTGCTTTTGACACGGCCTATTACTCAGAGTATAACTCTTGCTTACTTTGGTTCAAGCACCAGGCCACTGCTTCAGGCTCTTTATTTTTCCTACATCCCCTCACTTTTTGTCTTTTTATGGGGAGGATGTTTACCCATCATCACGGAAAAGCATAATGCTTGGTCTGAAAGTGACCCAGTGAGCTAAACACTGTTATGTGGCCACCTTATTTTGCAATCCACACATTCATGCCCCATCTGTTCCTGTCTGCACATTCTCTCATATGATTAATAGACAGGTTTTATTTGCCAATTGTGTTAAGTCCCGAATGGTTGGTCTGGGAATGTTAGGCCCGGGACTTTGGTTGAGGAATGGAGTTTTATGATTGAACCATGGAGCACAGCCAGACAAGAAATATATATGGATAATGTGGATATGGTGTATATATTTGTAGATTAAAATAATCGCGGCTTCATTTAAATCTAAATGGCTGCCCCGCTCTGCCGATCAGCTGTTTGTCGGCAGATCGGGGCAGTCTGGACGTGTCGTGGTCGACAAGGAAGCCTTTGTCGATCGGCGCAGGTATGCCTCATGAAACTAGGTTTACCTGCGCCGATCGACAAAGGCTTCCTTGTCGACCGCGGCGTATCCAGACTCCCCCGATCTGCCGACAAACAGCTGATCATCAGCTGGTCGGCAGAGCGCCGCAGCCCACGTCGACAAAGAAGCCTTTCTTGATCGGCACAGGTAAACCTGGTTTCACGAGGCATACCTGTGCCGATCAAGAAAGGCTTCTTTGTCAACGCGGCGCATCCAGACTGCCCCGATCTGCCGACAAACAGCTGATCAGCAGAGCGGGGCAGCCATTTAAATTTAAATGAAGTCGCGATTATTTTAATCGCGGCTTCATTTCCCTCTGCCGATCTGTCTAATCTACATGCCTCCGTCGACGGAGGCATGTAGTTTAGACGTACCCATAGGTTCATGTACCTATGATACCACCTTATACCCAAGTGCGCATATATATATTTAAGGGTAGCCTGGCCCTTTTAAATGTAGTGCCACAATAGTTAGAGGCTGAGGCTGTGTCTACACTGGCGTGATCTTGCGCCAAAGCAGCTGCTCTTGTGCAAAAACTTGCTGCCTGTCTACACTGGCCGTGTGTTCTTGCTCAAGTAAACTGACATTCTAATGTATGAAATCAGGGCTTCTTGCACAAGAACTATGATGCTCCCGCTCAGGAATAAGCCCTTTTGTGCAACTGTTCTTGCGCAAGAGGCCAGTGTAGACAGGCAACATGAATGTCTTGCACAAGAAAGCCCTATGGTTAAAATGGCCATTAGAGCTTTCTTGCGCAAGAGAGCACCTACATTGGCATGGATGCTCTTGCGCAAAAGCACATCTCTTGCACAAAAGCACATGCCAGTGTAGATGCTCTCTTGCACAACTACTTTAACGCAAGAACTCTTGTGCTAAAGAGTTTTTGCACAAGATCATGCCAGTGTAGACATAGCCTGAGTGTTTTGCTATACTGGTATAAGCATTGTTACAGCATGTACCATACAACTATGTGCATGAGGAGTAAAACAGAAATTTAGAGTAGTGACATTACAGATGAGGCCTTTATGTAGAATTGTTTTTTAATTGGTTACCTTACAGTACTGTCCATCCATGTTATAGGTTATTCTTACTGCTGGTTGTCGCTTTCTGATATAAGCTTTGCTGGGCAGGAAACAGGAATAGCTAGCGTCTCCGTTCCCTTGGTAACACTGCTCTGTGATATACCAGTAGTTGACAGTACTGACAGTTGTTTCTTTTGGATGCTATCTTCTAGATAACCTACTGAATGGACAGTAACCATTTATTAAATGTTGTTGTGTCAGGATTTAGTATTTGTGCCCAGACACTGAACAAGACTGTTTTGAATAACATGTGCCTCAGTTAGGATACAGTGTCAATGACCTCAAATTGTGACTTATGCTAATAGTTAATTTGTTTATTCAATGTATAGTTACTATGCCACTTTTTGTTTAGTACTTTGTTTTGTTGTTGGCTGTTGTTTGTTTTTTACCTCTGTAATGGCTAAACAGTTTAGCAATGTTATGCACATTGTAAATAACGTACAGCAATAACACAATACAGCAATACCAATGATACAGCAGTACTATTGTTTTCTTTACAACAAGGCTACTCAACTTTGGAAGCCCCGGGGGCCACAATGATACTCATAGCACATGCAGAGGGCCGCAACTTACGTGTAGTTGCATATACATGCAAAAATATATCCAAATACTGTATATGCAAATACCTTCTTTCACACTGATGGGCATGAATACAAAGATTAAGGCAAGAATGCACAACGCACAGGTCCCACTTAAGTCAGTTCTGCTGATATAAAATGCAATATTGCAATAATATGCAATAGTTACCCGATTTCTACCCATATGACAGCATTTTTAATGAGCAAGGACAATGCAGGAATTTAACTACTAAAATGCATATCAACAGAAAACCATTATATTGACTCCTTTTTCGTTTTGGCTCCTACCTGCTGGCTGCATGTT